GGTTTGCGGGAAAAAAAAAAAAAAAAAAGGGTGCTGCGATGAGTTGGGTGCCGCAGTTAACCGGGCGCTGCGGTAAATGGGGCGCTGGGATAAACTGGGTGCTGCAGTAAACTGGGTGCTGGGATAAACTGGGCTGGCAGAAAACGGCGCTGGGATAAACTGGGGTTGCAATAAACTGGGCGCTGCGGTAAATCGGGTTTGCCAAAAAATTGAGTGCTGCGATGAGTTGGGTGCTGCAATAAGCTGTGTCTAAACTGGGGGTTGTGATAAATCGGGTGCTGGGATGAAGCGGGTGCTGCGATAAACTGGGGGTCGCAATAAAGTGCGTGCTGGGATAAACTGGGTTTGCAATGAATTGGGTGCTGGGATAAACTGGGCGCTGCAATAAACTGGGTTTGCGATAAACTGGGTGCTGGGATAAACTGGACGCTGCAATAAACTGGGTTTGCGATAAACTGGGCGCTGCAGTAAATTGTGTTTGCAAAAAAAAATGGGTGCTGCGATGAGTTGGGTGCTGCAATAATCTGGGTCTGCGATGAGTTGGGTGCTGCAATAAGTTGGGTTTGTAATAAACTGGGTTTGCAAAAAATCGGGTGCTGCAATAAATCGGGCTCGCAATGAAACGGGCACTGGGATAAACTGGGTGCTGCAATAAACTGGGTGCTGCGACAAACTGGGGTATGCAACAAAGTGGGTGCTATGATAAAGTGGGTGCTGCCATAAATCGGGTTTGCGATAAATCGGGTGCTGCGATAAAGTGGGCGCTGCAACAGTGCGAAAAAGTGGGTGCTGTGATAAATTGGGGGTTGCAATAAACTGGGTGCTGGGATAAAGTGGGGTTGCAGGAAACTGGGTGCTGGGATGAACTGGGTGCTGCAACAGTTTGCAAAAAAGTGGGTGCTGCGATAAATTGGGGGTTGCAGTAAAGTGGGTGATGGGATAAAGGGGGTTTGCAATAAATTGGGTGCTGCGATAAATTGGGGGTTACAATAAAGCGGGTGCTGGGATGAACTGGGTACTGGGATAAATTGGGGGTTGTGATAAACCAGGTGCCGGGATGAAGTGGGTTTGCAGTAAACTGGGTACTGGGATGAACTGGGTGCTGGGATAAGCTGGGGGTTGTGATAAATCAGGTGCTGGGATAAAGTGGGTTTGCCATAAACTGGGTGCTGGGATAAACTGGGGGTTGTGATAAACCGGGTGCTGGGATGAAGTGGGTGCTGGGAAAACCAGTGTTTGCCATAACCTGGGTGCTGGGATAAACTGGGTGCTGCAACAGTGTGCGATGCAGTGGGTGCTGCGATAAATCGGGGGTTGCAATAGATCAGATGCGGGGATGAACGGGTGCTGGGATGAACTGGGGGTTGCAATAAATCAGGTGCTGGGATGAAGTGGGTTTGCAGTAAACCGGGTGCTGGGATGAACTGGGTGCTGGGATAACCAGTGTTAACCATAAACTGGGTGCTGTGATAAATTGGGTGCTGCAACAGTGTGCGATATAGTGGGTGCTGCAATAAATTGGGGGTTGCAATAAACTGGGTGCTGGGATGAACTGGGGGTTGCAATAAAGTGGGTGCTGGGATAAAGTGGGTTTGCAAGAAACTGGGTGCTGGGATAAACTGGGGGTTGTGATAAATCGAGTGCTGGGATGAAGTGGGTGCTGGGATGAAGAAGTGGGTTGGCAGTAAACTGGGTGCTGGGATGAAGTGGGTGCTGGGATGAAGAAGTGGGTTGGCAGTAAACTGGGTGCTGGGATGAAGTGGGTGCTGGGATGAAGAAGTGGGTTGGCAGTAAACTGGGTGCTGGGATGAAGTGGGTGCTGGGATAAACTGGGGGTTGTGATAAATCG